TTTTTTTTTTTTTTTGAGGCAGGGTCTCACTCTGTCACCCAGGCTGGAGTGCAGTGGCAGCATCACAGTTCACTGCAGCCTCAGTCTCCCAGGCTCAAGCGATCCTCCTGCCTCAGCCTCCCAAGTACAGGAGGACAGGCATGCACCACCATGCCTGGCTAATTTTTGGGGGGGAGTTTAGTAAACACAAGGTCTCACTATATTGCCCAAGCTAGTCTGGAACTGTTGAACTCAAGCAATCCTCCAGCCTCAGTCTCCCAGAGGGCTGGGATTATAGATGTAAGCCACTGTGCCCAGCCTATACTTGTTGAATCTTTAAAGTTCATCCCAAACCCTAAAGGTAGACATTACCCCCATTTTATGGAAAAGGACACTGAGGCTCAGAAAGGTGCTGTGACCTGGCCAAGGCCCCCTTGCTAGTGAGTGCAAAGCCAGGACTCGAACTGTCCCCCAGCTTCTGTCTCCCCCCAGGCCAGGCTTCCCCCGAGCTCCTCCCCGCCCCCAGCCCTGGCCTGCAGCTGCATGGGCTATTTTCATCTCTCCTGTCATTCCAGCAAAACCACTGGGCCAGTGAGTCAGTCTTGTGGTTAAGGGAGGAAGGGTACTGCTGGGAGCCCGCAATGGAAGAAGTTTCTTCAACGGGTGGCCACCGGGCCCTGCAGTACCCCTGCACTAAGGGAAGAGCCACGTTCCTCTAGGCCTGCCCATGGCTTTGGGAAATCAGTGCCCTGGATAAGCCACCAGCCTTCCCCACAAAGGCTTGGGAGTGGCAGTTGAGAAGCGTTCACTCCCAATTCACTTGGACCCCCTTGTCCTCCCCACCCAGGTGTCGGCGGTGCCCACTGTACTGGCCATGAAGAATGGGGACGTGGTGGACAAGTTTGTAGGCATCAAGGATGAGGATCAGTTGGAAGCCTTCCTGAAGAAGCTGATTGGCTGACAAGCAGGGGCGAGTCCTGGTTCCCTTGCCCGCGTGGGACCCCAGTAGAACTCAGCCCTTCCACGCCAGCCCTTCCTGCTGCCTCCCTCCTGTCTGGCCTCTGGGGCCTGTGCTTAGAGCTCGGGCTCCAGCCCTGAGTGCTTCTGAGCTGGTGGACTGCCCAGGGGCCATCAGAGGATGGTGCTGCTGCTGATCCGGGGACCGCCGTCTTCCCTCCCACACGCATTTCATCCCTCCCTCTAGGGCCTGTGGCAGTTCTCCCAGGATGCGTGGAGAGAGCCCGGGCCAGCCCACAGCGTTCCTGGTCAGGCAGCCACACCTTGGTCCTCATCTCTGGTCCCTTCCGATCTGAAGCCTCGTGCCTGGCTCATCTCCACCTGCATTTCTCTTTCCTGCTGCTGTTTTGGAAAAAGAAAAAGAAAAAAGAAGCCCAAATTAGTGAGAATAATATCTAATTCTCTCATTTTTTGCAGGTCTGTGATAAAGAACTTAGTCATCCCTTCCACCTCCTACTGTGAAGAGCAACCCTGGGTCCCACACTGAAATCCCCTCTAGTCACCCATCCTCACCCCCCAGGGAGCCCCCTCCCACCTCACCTCCCAGGCAGTGGGGCAGAAAATGATTAATGGGCTGGGGAGCCCTGGAGAACCTTGACTCTGGAAGTCTCGAGGCACCTCCTTCGCTCCTTAGCTGGCCCGTTGGTTTTCTGAGCCGGGGGCTGAACTGTGAACAAGTCAGACCAATAAAGCAAGGGTCTGCACCATCTGCAATGTTGCATCTGTGTGGGCTCAGAGCACCTGTGACCCTTTCCCAGGGGGCTTGTCCATTGTCCCTGCATCCTCCCCTAACTCCACAGCACTCTCTCCAACCAGCCCCTCCTATTCACTATCATGCTTGTCAGCTGTGGCTGCTATTCTGAGGATGCCACGTGCCAGTCCTCGTGCCCTTCTAAGGCAAGAGGCTGTTGTCCCCATTTCCCTGATGAAGACACTGAGGCTCATGGGATGCAGAACTGGGGTTTCTATCCAGACGTGGTTGCCTCTGAAACCTGGACTCCCATAGCTGATCCCTTTGACCCTTCTGAGGCCACCCCCGTCTGACGGGCTCCTGGCTGCCCCAGCAGGTGCCTGGCCCTGTGGGGATCAGGCTATCCTTCCCATGGGTGCCTGCAGGAACTTCTGGGCCTTGGGACCAGACACCCTCTTTTGGCCCCCAGCTCCCCTTGGCCATAGAGGAGTGTGCCAAGGGAGCCAGGCTTGCCAGTCAAGAAAGCCTTCCGTCTGCCTCACTCCTAGGGCCAAGCTGTCATTAGGGCTCGGTTGCCCGGATGAGGCCCCAGCTTCCTGTGAGTCAGGTACTTGGCGGCAGGGGGGTCTGACAGCCTACCCCATGGCTCCAGGGATGCCATGGGACTCGTATTGCTTGCTCTCAGAGGCTCACCCTGTTCCTGTTAGAACTGCCTGTGTGGCCGGGCACGGTGGCTCAAGCCTGTAATCCCAGCACTTTGGGAGGCCGAGATGGGCGGACCACGAGGTCAGGAGATCGAGACCATCCTGGCTAACACGATGAAACCCCATCTCTACTAAAAAATACAAAAAACTAGCCAGGCGAGGTGGCGGGCGCCTGTAGTCCCAGCTACTCAGGAGGCTGAGGCAGGAGAATGGCGTAAACCTGGGAGGCGGAGCTTGCAGTGAGCTGAGATCCGGCCACTGCACTCCAGCCTGGGTGACAGAGCCAGACTCCGTCTCCAAAAAAAAAAAAAAAAAAAGAACTGCCTGTGTTCTCTAGGGGGCCACCCAAGGACTGCCTTGGGAAGGCTGCCGAGACTGAGGGAGGAGAGAGCCCGTGGCCTCTGAAGGACCCCAGGCACCAGGGACTGTCACAGTCACATGGAGGCAACAAAACCAGCAACTGGTGTCAGAGGAGACAAGTTCGTGGAGTGAACATCCTCCAAAGGCCAAAAGCCCTGGATAAGATGAGCAGGACCTGTCCAGGCTCAGGAGGTACCTCTCAGGCACCTGGCACTGTTCTGAGGGTTTCAGCTTACCACAGCCCCGCAGGGAGGTGTCCCCCTTCATGTTCCACCTGAGACCTGCCCCAAGAGGTTGAGGAGCCTTCCCCAGTTCACAAAGCCCCTGAGAAGCTGAACTGGGATTCAAGGCCAGGCAGCCTTCCACACCCACCCCCAGGCACCAACCTCGCTACCTCCCTTCATCTGATAGAAGGTGGCGTGTGTGTGATCTTCATCTCAATAGGCAACAAGGCAGGTGGTGTCGGCTCATTTGACACAGTGGGAGCGGAGCAGATCAGAGGTTGAGTAACTCTTTCAATGACACCCAGTGAGCCCAGGGTGGGGCCAGAGCACAATGCTGGGGCGCCTTGACTCCTGAGTCTGGGCCCTTTCCACCGGACCCCACTGCCACTCCTTAAAAGGCACCATTTGCCACGCACCTTCTACACACATTACCTCATTGAATTCCACTCTTGTGAGGCAAGTATTATTTCCATATCATAAGTGAAAAAACCAGTTCAGAGAAATTGACTTGCCCAAGGTCATGTCTGAAAAGTGATGATGCCAAATTTGAACCCAGTGGGGGTCTGGCCTCTCTGCCCGGGTGGGCGTGGAGAACTGTGGCAGAGGCCTTGGCCAGAGGCAGGACCCGGGCGCTGCTCCAGCTCCCTCTCCTTAAAAGGTGTGTTGCCCTGCAAGGTGAGCCGGTGGCTGTGGCCATCCCAGGTTGGCAGCCTGTACCCATGAAGCTGATCATGGCCATGAGTCACGCTGGCTGTGCTCACAGAATCCTCCGGGTGATCCTGTTTGACCAATTCCAGGACACTGACCTCACCGGGGATGCCGCTGGCTCTGGGCTGTCAGCCCACGGTCGTCCTCTGGGTGCCACGTTGGGCCCCAGGACTGTGGACAGGGTTGGCAGACACCTGCTGAAAGGCTTTAGCCGCCAGGTTGGGAAGCCGGGGAAAGGGGACAAAGTCGCAGGCTTGCCGAGTCTAAAGACAACCCGGGATATGGCCCCTGTATATTTATTCTTGACACCAAGTGCTTGTGGTTGCCTGCAGAGAGGCGGCAGGGATGGAAGCTCGAGTTTGCTGGGCTGGCTGCTTGACTTCTGCGCTCCCTTGTGCCCTGCAGCTCCACCCTACCAGGGAGCAGGTGCCAGCCCACAGAGGAGACGGAGCGCCAGGGTGGGCATTGAGACGACCGAGACACCACTCCGGGCAGGCACACTCACCTGCAGGCAGCACCGGCATGGCTCAGAGTGAACGTTTGGTGGCCACAAACACAGGTTCCTTCTAAATACAGAACACGGAGCCTGGCACGGTGGCTCACGCCTGTAATCCCAGCACTTTGGGAGGCCGAGGCGGGTGGACTACCTGAGGTCAGGAGTTCGAGACCAGCCTGGCCAACATGGCGAAACCCTATTTCTACTAAAAATACAGGAATAGCCGGGTGTGGCAGTGCACACCTGTAATCTACTAAAAATACAACAATAGCCGGGCGTGGCAGTGCACACCTGTAATCGCAGCTACTTGGGCGGCCGAGGCAGGAGAATGGCTTGAACTCAGGAGGCAGAGGCTGCAGTGAGCCGAGATCACACTACTGCACTCCAGGCAACAGAGCGAGACTCCATCTCAAAAGAATAATAATAATAATAAAACATAAAAATAAATAAACCTCCCGAACATGGGAGGGAAACTGACCCTGTCCTTGAAGAACTTATGCCCAGAGACCGCAAAGCAGGGGGCTTCGGTCATCCCTGAGCCGATGTCAGGGCAGCATAAGGGACCTCCGGCTACCCAGCATCCCTTATGAGGCAGAGGGAAGGGGAAGCTTGCCCAGGTGGCAGCGTCTTTGTAGCAGGGCAAGGATTTTAACCATGCCCTGACTCCAGCCTGCCCTAAAGTGGAAATGAGGCGGAGCCTTTTCTACCCTGGCCTCAGGAGAGAGGCATGAGGAGGGCAGCTGTGTCTCTGAGGAGGGAGGACTCAGGTAAGGACCTGTCAGATCAAGAGGATGTTGATGGCGCTGCTGCCACTGCCTTCCCAGCAGGGCCTGCCCCTGCCAGGGGCCAGGGCCAGCTCAGCCCCCACCCCGGCCGCCTGGGGAAAGCTGTTACAGGAAGTGAAGGTAGTTCTGGCCAGGCTGCGGAAATCCCAAATGTGTGGGCTCTGGGCAGGGAAGGGCCCAGAGAACAATGTTGGGGCCGTGTCCATGGAGCGCAGGATGCTGGCGACAGTAAGGCTGCCAGGCCCTCAGCCGCAGTTCCTCTGCGCTGCCTGGAACACCAGCTGGAGGCGTGACCCTTACCCCGGCCAGGGCTGGGGTCCCTGGCTCTGCAGGAAACCTGGGCCACTGGTTGTTCCAAGGAACCTCCCTTTCCAGCCACCTCCTGGCAGCAGGGCCCCTCCGGCCCTTCCACGGTGATGGAAGTAGGGCGGGAAGAATCTGATCTGGATTCAGATCCTGCCTGTGCCACCTGCAAGTTGTGTGACCTTGGGCAGGCTGCTTCTCCATTCTGAGGCTCTGTTCACGATGGTGAAATAGGCTGGCAGTGATGGCTGGCACTTACTGAGTGCATGCTACATGAATCCTCTCACTGAGTCTCCACCGCAACCCCAAAGGCAGGGACTGTTGTTACCACCATTTTACAGATGAGGAAACTGAGGCTTGGAGGGCTTAAGTAACTTGGCATGAACGGAGTTCAGAGCTCAGATTTGAACTCCGATGTGGCCAGACACGATGGCTCACGCCTGTAATACCAGCACTTTGGGAGGCCAAGGCGGGACGATCACTTGAGCCTAGGAGTTCGGGATCAACCTGGGCAACATAGTAAGACCCTGTATTTACAAAAAATTTAAAAAAAAAAAAATTAGCCTGGCATAGTGATGTGCACCTATAGTCCCAGCTACTTGGGAGGGTGAGGTGGGAGGATCGCTTGAGCCCAGGAGTTTGAGGCTACAGTGAGCTGTGATCTCATCACTGCACTCCAGTCTGGGTGACAGAGTGAGATCTTGTTCTAAAACATAAAAAATAAAAATTATTTATTTTATTGTTTTTGAGATGGAATCTCTCTCTGTTGCCCAGGCTGGAGTGGAATGGCATAATCTCTGCTCACTGCAACCTCCTTTGCCTCCTGGGTTCAAGCAACTCTCCTGCCTCAGCCTCCCGAGTAGCTGGGGTTACAGGCATTTGCCACCACACCTGGCTCATTTTTGTATTTTTAGTAGAAACGGGGTTTTACCATGTTGGCCAGGCTGGTCTCAAACTCCTGACCTCAAATGATCCACCTGCCTCGGCATCCCAAAGCGCTGGGATTACAGGCGTGAGCCACCGTGCCCAGCTCCAAAATAAATTTTAAAAAGGGGGAAAAGAATGAACCCCAATGTCTTTACTTTCTAATTCTCTTTGTTCTTGCTCATCATACTGCTTTCCTTTTGGGACAAGGTTTTTCACCATTTTGAGCCCCCGTTGCAGCATCTCCAAGCTGGGGCTCATGACAGTCTCTGCAAATGAGGTCACGGCTCAGCAGGTGGAAGCGCGCTGGCACCCACTGGAAGCTCCAGAAGTGTTGAGCTGCGTGGCTTTCTCCTTCCCCCTACCCCCAGTCACATCTGAAACAGGAAACACCAGGCTTCCCAAGATAAGGACCCCAGCACCATGGGAGGGGCCCGTCACTGTACCAGCCTAACATTCAGCCCTGTGCCCTGGCCCTGGTCCCTGCCACCACCTCCTCCTGCTCTGGAGCTGGCTTGGTGG